TAAAATTCTTTGAAGACTAGTAAATTTTACGCACAAAATTTCTGCATAACAGCTCTAAATATAGCTTTTTAGTAAGTATTTAAAGATTAACATTATATATGTAAAACTGCGCAAATTATATTTATGTAACTTATATATGTACTAGCTTTTCGGCTCGCGCTTCGCGCGGGTATAAATCTATCTGTATATGAATTATATATGCTTTAAATTCACCCATTAATTTGAAACACTAAATTTGTTATTTTTTTTTCTTAAACTGTAATCTACATCTTCGTTTTTTTTAGATTCAACCTTTATTTTACTCTCAGTTTAATACTAATTTTTAATTTAAATACATTTTTTTATTTTTAAAAAGTTTCAATTTTTTATCGTGAATTTTTTAATATCCGTAAATTTTGAGATATTGGACCTTTTTTTTTTTTTCGTTGGAGGAAGAAAATGTCTAATGCATACCCTAGGACCGGTCCCTAGGGTTATGCCGGACTTGCACCGGCTAAAAACCTCCCCCGGCCCCCATCTTCGATATAAGTAGCAGCTTTGTTACAAAATTTCTCGATATACAACATTTTTTGTAAAAGATTTCGAATTTCCCTCAATAAGTTGTCCTTGATTGCTGTTTTCATCGATCTTAATTTTAACATTATCTCTTTTAGTTGCTCTTGAGAATGCTACATAGAGTTGTCTATGAGCAAATACAGGTTGTGGCAGATAAATCCCAACTTTTTCTAAAGTTTGTCCCTGTGATTTATTGATTGTCATAGCAAATGCCATTCTAATAGGAAACTGTCTTCGTTTGAGCTTAAACGGGAGTTCCGAGTCATTTTGAAGGAAATCTATCCTTGGTAAGAAGACAATTTGACCTCGAGCTGAGGTCAAATTGTCTTCGAGCTACTTCTATGAATATTCTTTTTCTTTTCTCTCCTCTTTCCTTGCGTTTCTTTTTTTTCTTCGTTTTTTCCTTGCGATTTGTCTTTGATCGATGACATATAATATGTGAAGGTAGCAACTTATCCTACATTATCTATGATATAACATATTTCATTTAAAACTGATTGACCGCGAGCGATTAATGACGTCACTTGAGCAAATCGAGCAGTTACACGATTTTTATTTATGAATTTCGTAATCGAAAGATTATACACATAAAATACATATAGATAAAGAATAATATTGAAAAAAAATTAAAAATTAAAATTTAAAATTAAAAATTGAAAAAATTTTGTAACCGTTTTCCCAAAAGATCGGTAACAAAAAATTATACACTTTATAGCAAACCCCAGGAAATTCTACCTTTATTTCATATACAATTCTTTAAAATTCGATCAATTAACTCCCGAGAAATTTGAAAAATTTTGTAACCGGTTTCCACAAAAATCGGCAACAACAAATTATGAATAAAAATTATCCATAAAAAAAAATTCAGCTTGATATCTCAAAATTTTTTTTTAAAATTTGGTCAATTAATTCTCTAAAAATTGGAAAAAATGTGTAACCGGTTCCCCAAAAAATCGGTAACAAAAAATTGTACACTTTATAGTAATCCCGGGGAAATTCTACCTTTATTTCATATGTAATTCTTTAAAATTCAATTATTTCCCAAGAAATTGGAAAATTTTTGTAACCGGTTTCCAAAAAGATCGGTAACAAAAAATAATACACTTTATAGCACTCCCCGAAAAATTCTACCTCTGTTTCATAAATACATCTGTTTCATATATCAGACAGACAGACGTCTGGTACTTATATATATAGATCAAAAAAATCAATTCATTAATGAAAAATTATCCATTAATAAAAAATTAAACTTATCCTCCAAAAATTAAAAAAATTTTGACACGACTCCTATTTCATATATAATTTTTTAAGATTTGGTCAATTAATTCCCGAAAAATTGGAAAAAATGTGTAACCGGTTCCCAAAAAAATCGGTAACAAAAAATTTTACACTTTATAGCAATCCCGGGGAAATTCTACCTTTATTTCATATGTAATTCTTTAAGATTCGATTATTTCCCGAGAAACTGGAAAAATTTTGTAACCGGTTGTAACGATCGCGTTTTCTCGCTCGGAGTTCGCTCGCCAGGCCAGGGTGAGAAAACGTGGAGACACTGGTTGGTTTTACTAAATAGTCTTTATTCTTACTAACTAAGTGATACAGAAATGATGGAGGGCGTACGTGTAGGTGCGTGTGTGTGTGTATCGCTCCGCTGAGCCGCAGTGTACGTGTTAGGGTCGATGCGGGGCAGACCCGCGGACGAGTAGACGAGTTCACAACTAGCCGAGACGGATTCGCGGGCGAACACAGAGGCCCGGTGGCCTGACGGATTCGCGGGCGGAGGCGCGGCTTATATCTATCAGGTAGGACGGTCAGGAGC